GGCAAAGCGTTACGCGACGTTTGACGCTAATCGAAGCGTGATGCTGCGACAGAAGGCGGTTTTCGGGACGCGGCCACCACGGTGACTCGTGTTTGCCGGAATTAAGGCTAGATGGCTCGCGCGAGTTCGGTCCGCAAAATGGCGCGCCGTGGCGCGCGGTGAGGTCGCACGGTGTCCCGTGCAGATTCGCTTTTATAGCGCCAACTTGAATTCGGGGCGGACGGAGGTTATAAATGTAAATTACTACTTTTGTTGTTTCGCTGCCAGCTGTGCGATCCCTGTTGTGCGTCGAGCAGCAGCAATGGGGGGTGAAATGACGAGTGTACAGAGGGGTGGAGAGTTTTACGAAAACGAAGTTGATATTGTATTTCTTTGAAGAGGAGCAACCCTGTTCCGATTTATGTACTTTTCAAACGTGAGTGTGTCCCGAGGAGTGATTAGGTGTGAGGTCGTGTTTCGGTGATTTGTTATTGTTATCGAGGGTGAATGGGTGGTGGTGGATCGTGGAGGTGTGAATTGTGCTTGATTTTAATACGAAATCTATTATTGCAATATACATATATAAATACAGAGTGGACACTGAAAGACTAAATTTTTATTACTTTATTTGGAAATCTATTTTCTAATCTCCAATGAATTATCTATAACCTACAAACAAAAGGAAGTGAAAATAATTGGAAATGAACAAGGTATGACAAAGTTTTCAGTGATCACCCTGTATATTATACTTGGATACTTGATACGAGACCTATTAAACCGATTAAACTCAATAACCTCGGATTTGTTTTATTTTTAAAATTACTGAAAGCGAAATAAATATTAATTTTAATCGAAATGGAAAGGTAATTTTGTAATATAGTTTTGGATATTTAAAATAATAGGTGGAAACAAATTCTGAACAAGTATCTGTTAATTATGCACAGCATACAATGCTACAACCCTCGTTTATAATCGTGTTACCCTTCTTACTCGAATATACCCCTATCTGTCTACGTAAAAAGAATTTTTTCATGCAAGTCCCCCATTTTCATGGGTACTATAGATAGTGCTTGATCATCCTAAGAGTACTTTAAAGTTTTCACTCGAACTTACTTTCTTCCATCGTGAAACTTTCGGAACTGACATTAAAAGTTATTAGACACCGTGATCAGAAACTTTAATATCATATAAAATTCCAGAAAATGTCAATTATACTACCAGCAATAAACTATTCGAGCGGGAAAAGAGAATAATATTTCTACAATACGATCTGCTTCAAAAATGTTACGACCACGAACATTTGAATAAGAAGCTCCTTCAGTTTCCATTACAACTGTACAAAATGTGCCAGGAATCAGATCACATAATTTTTCAACCATTTTCGACACGATATCTAAATCGAAGCTATATGATATAATAAATTACTGGCTCAAAAAATTAAAATAAAAAAATAAATAAATAAAAAGAAGAAATGATTTTAAAACCTCACATTATATACTTTCAAGACTTTCATTTCTGAAGGAAAATAATTATAAATATGAATTTATTTATATAGTGGTAAATTCACAATTATAATTATTTCTAACAAAACTAGAAAGGACTAAACTATACATAGGTCAAAATAACTAATTTTATCTTCTAAAATTTCGAAATTATTAATATCATTAATAACAAGAAATAAGTAAATAAAAAGAAGGAATGATTTTAAAACCTCACACTATCTTTGATTTTTCATTCAGAAATAAAAATTCTGGTTTTTAAAGAAAAATAATTATAAATGTGAATTTATTTATACAGTGGTAAATTCACATTTATAATTGTTAATAACAAAATTAGAAAGAATTAAACTATTCATAGGCTAAAATGGCTAACTTTATTTCCTAAAATTTCGAAATTTCACTGTCAATTCTCTAGATCCCTAACTCTCCATATCTGAAATAAATCTCAACGAAAAAAGGAAAAACTATTTCCATTAACAACTCCATAATATCCTTTATATTTTTCATAGAGGAAATAACCTAGCTGCTTCTAAAACTGCAGTATCTCATCGATTAAATACCACCTAACATTTGTTCAACCCTCAGCGCTCCTTTTAATTTTTCAATTATGAATATCGACCGGCAACTCCAACTTATTCTCATCACACTTCCACTCGCAAGTTTTTAAGCGTCAGATTTAAATGTTACAATAACGTGTAAATAATAATATCAAAGTCATTCAAAACGATCTCTATTCATCTCAGAAGTAATATAATTTTGATAACAATACTTCCACTCGCAAGTTTTTAAGCGTCAGATTTAAATGTTACAATAACGTGTAAATAATATCAAAGTCATTCAAAACGATCTCTATTCATCTCAGAAGTAATATAATTTTGATAACAATATTTACATTAATTATAATTCAGGCACCATCGGTGATCCCTGAGAGGCACACTAGGAGCTTTAAGGGTTAAATCCTCCCTCTATCGGATATCCGAAATTGGCAACAAAAATTCGCAACGAAACACCCCCTGAATTCCAAACAATTTCCCCAAGTAAGACAATTATTTACCCCCCTCCCCTCAACTCCACTCAGCGGCATAAAATACGCATAAAAGGACGGTAATTACTCACCTCACAGTTAGAATGACTGATGTTGCTCAGATTCAGCCTGAACACCTTATCCCTGGAAAACAAAAAGGCAAAGAATGAGAATGATGCAACGTTAGGGTAACAAGAATTCGCATTAAACGCGGCGATAGCCGAAAGCTCGGGGTGTAAATTTTCATTCCGTACGTCCGCGAGATACATTACCCGGGACTCGCCTTATCTGGCCACGGTTATGTGTGCGTGTGCACGGGTATGCGGCACTTTGCTTACGACGGAACTGCTGGCGAATGCCACGGAATTTCTATGAGCATTCGAAGGGGGATGGCGAGGGACCCTCGCCGGTCTCAGACCCCTAACTTTCTCCGTTTCCGTTCTATCGCTCGCGTTTTATTAGGATTTCCTTCTTCCAGGCACGATCCGCCGGCTGCTTCGTGGATATCGAACGAAAAAAATACACGTGCACGCGCATATAATAAAGACGGAGGGTAACGAGGGTGCTCTCCGACGTAACGGTTCCTTCCCCTCGTTTCAACCGACACCCATACCCACCCCTCCGCGCCGATTCCACCGCGTCGGACCGTACACGGTCGAGAACGACGTGTTCCTTGGAACGACTCGACCCGTAACGCGAATTCCGGACTATCGGGACTGAGAACTGGCTCGATACTGCTCGTAGGCGTGTTTAATTTTCCACCGTGTTCCCGGGATCTCTGAGGTCTCGAACGAAGAAACTCTTCGTTGGCTGACCCAGAAATTCGGAACGGGAAACCACCGAATCTTCGCGCTCGTCGTTCCACGGATCGGCTAGTTCGGAAATAAGTAACCCAACTCGGTGTATATTTCACCGGCTTCGAGGTAAGTCAGAGATACGGAGCAAAGGACGAGCCAATGTTTCTAATGTTCCCAAATTTTTTCAAAATTATTGCGGGTACACGTTTCCCTTTCGGGCGTTTATGGACTTCGAAGGACTGGTTCAAACGTTTCTAAATTCTGAATTAAAATTGTAAGGATATATGAGACGTTCACTGCACAAATCGATTAATGAAAAATTATAAATTTAAGTGCCAAAGCACTTGGTATAGTCATAACTACGTTATTTCGTTGCATTTTTCCGCTTTTTGTTTCATGGAGTTCATCAATTTGTGCAGTGAATGGGTCACATAGAGATTGGACCGAGGCAATGTTTATTGGTAACAATGATATAAAAATGTGAGAGTGATAAAAGAAGGTTTGGAATTATTCTTCAGCTTATTTCAATATTCAACACAGTATTATAATATTGTAACTTCGTTCGATTTCGTTTCTTAATTTTATAACTCAAGTGAATGACAACTGTCTTCGACTTCAACTCGATATCAACCCTTTGACTGTCACGCTGAAATCACACGTTTCCCTCACGTTTTAACCCTTTGAGTGCAAAACGACGATATTTTATTAAAAATGATCGAAAATGTAATACTTATACTTCATACTACGTGAGCTACATAAAACTGTAATCACACTATGATTATTCTTATGTGCAAATATTGTTTCTAGAAGAGAAGCTTGTTTCTATGTTTTTCATCGTTATTCGTACGATTTTCAATGAATATTGAAACACAATTGGCACTACATTATTCTCCCTTTCTTCAATAATATGCTGCATTTCGAATTTTTTAAGTAACATTCTTAGTTTGGTTTTTATTAGTAAATTCGTCCAGTTAGGTGCATAGGCACCATTCTTCGCTCGGCACTAAAATGGTTAAATAAAATCTGTTTTGTTATTAAAAAGGAGTCGTTTATTAGATCTTGGCAAATCTATGTCAGTATAGGATTAATCTAGCATTAGGTTAACCTACAATAGGTTAAGATCTTTAACTTGCTTGTGCGTAAATGGAACTAACCGTCTAACCTCATATTTATATGACGTTTCCCTGGGCATGACAAGAGTTATCATAAATAAGACGATTTAGGTATTATCATTATCATGAATAGCGTTTCGAGCAGCTAAGATGGGCTTCGCGATGTGGTGGCCGGCACTAAAGTGACCTACGTGCTACCATTGTAGTGGGCACGCACCGTTTCAATCGTCATGAAATACTATGTAATACTTACACGTCCTCTGGGTGTTCACAGTCACTTGGTCCACTTTACACACAAGAGTAATTAACCAAAAGAAATACCGAAGGAAGAACGTAGGAAAATTTACGACCGGTGTCGTCGAGAACGTGCGACCAACTGACTCGGTCGCACGTGCTCGCAGACACCGCGATCCTTCCTTCCTTTGTTTCCTTGTTCCTTCGACACTAACGACTTTCCATGACGCACTTCGGTCAACGTGGACTAGGTGTGCCTGTATATAAACAGACACGCTGTCGAACTCGTGCTCGCTGAAATCACGTTGCTATTCACGCGAGGGTCGACACCTAGCACCATCAAAACAACTGGAAACGGCTTAGGAATCCAAAAAAATGATCAGTATTGCGAGAATGGTGAGCATAACGTGATTAGAGTACAAGGTCACTGCCTATGACAGTACCTTTTGTGTAGGTATGACTGTAGAGTACATGGGATTGCATGAACGGTATATTTATGATTGTATCGATGCAAGTGAAGAACGAAATGTCCACCAAGGGCTAGGCTATGAAGACTGCGTGAAAAACACATGATTGAGGAAGAAAGCATGATTATGAAAGAAGACAGAGTGCAAGGTTTAAATAAGTTAACACATTATTGACCGGTGACGAGTTAACTCGTCTTTTTCAGCACATACGTTGTTATATTAACATCATTAACCCTTGGCACTATGATTTTATTCTGAAACATTATATACCAAAGTAGTGTCCAATTTTAATTACAATAAACCACTATATTATATTCCATCCACGTCAAAATTAGATAAAGGTTCCAAAAATTCTGTGAATTTTGTACACATTAAAATGTATGAAATATAATTACAGTCGTGCGATTAGTGTAGTTCAACCCCTTCGTTACAGTTCGCTGAAGAAATATGCACAGTGATTTTTGTTTATTTCTGTACATTTTCCCAAGTCTTAACACATTATTGACGGGTGACGAGTTAACTCGTCCTTTCCTGCCAAACGTTGTTGACCGATGACGAATTAACTCGTCGTTGCACTTGCATTATCTATTTAAATTTATGAAACCCAGAACAACATAGAATATTGCGTGTGAAAGCGATTTTGAAGATTGAATTACAAAATAATAACCAATGACATGTCATGTCATGTGACATAGTTCCTGCATAAAATTGCCGGTCAACAAAGTGTTAAAGAACAGTTATATTTTTGTTTTACTGCTACTCAGCAATCCTATTATCTCGAAAGTATTAACGTCGAATAGAACTAAGTAATTTCAACAGAATTCCAGCTGATTGGAACATATTTGTAAAACTACCCCTTACGAATTACCCCGAAAGCAGATCCGAAATCGTACGACTCGGAAGCAGGCTAGGTATCACAATGGAGGGGCAACATTCGTGAAATTCGGTCGACAAAACCCAACGGTGGTTCCCACGGTTAATTGGGAAAAATTCAGTGGAACGAGGCGGTCCGAAAATGACGATTTTCCCGGCGCGGAGTGAGCATGGTCGCGGCGAAAACAAAAGCGCGTGTCGGCGGTTCCGGGCGAAATGGTACACGCAACGGCGAGCATCGGTGGCCGGGTAAATCGAATTTACCCAGTTTCCAAGCGTTTCGCAACATTAACGCCGGCGCGCCGCATAACTTTATTCCGATAACCATTCATCATTGGCTCCCGATAGAAAACGCGCAGTCGAACGGAATGCGGGTGGACGGGGAAACGAAGAGGGGAAAAGAAAGGGAAAAGGAGATAAAAGAAAAGTGAAAACGGAGGAAGAGAATGCGAAAGGGGTGGCGAGGGTTAGGGGTGAGAAAGCCAAGTCGCCTCGCCCTTCGCGAGGCTTTCCTTCCTTTCCTCATTCGTGCTGTGCACGCCGGCGTGAAAAAGTAAATAGCGACGTGGAAAAACAAATCCGTAGTTTGGAATCCGGCCGCGTCGGCTTCTCGCGCCGGAGAAGTTTCCGGGGGTGGCTGAACGGGGGCCAGGTGGATGGGAAAAGGCGGGGCGAGACCTCGTACGTGCGAGCTCGTCGCCGGAGACGACCGGAAAAGGGGGAAGAAAAAATTTGTACGAAAGCAATTTGCGGGGGTGATCGATGGCGGCGTGAACGCGAGCGTAAAGTCATCGTGTTTTCGATTTAAAAAAATCCGTCTAGTCAGCGCCGAAATGCTGGACCGTGGCAGCAACCACCCCCTTTCGCGCGCGCACGATCGAGATTTTCTAGCCTTCCCTTTCCCTTTCGTCCCCGTAATTTCTCTGATTGCCCGTGGAGCGTGTTACTCGCGGGAATTTTGATGGGATCGTAGGCGCGAATGACGATGCGATTTTTTTACAATCGTCCCGTCTTACGATACTCTCGCAGTTTCCCTCTGTGGGGGGTTTATGATAGATTATGTCGGGGTAGGTATTTTCCACATTCGCACAATTGATTATCGGAAGGCTCGGAAGAGATCTAGGCCAAGTGGAATATAGATTTAACGAATATAGTTTGTAAATCTTTGTACATGTCGTGTGCATTGTCTTCGTATATCTTGACAGAAATTTTATGGAGTTTATCGATTTTAGGGAGGGGGCAGGGGGGCAGAGAATATGAATTTTATTTGGGATGCCTATTGGTAGACCTTGATTTTAATATTTTATTATAATGATATATGAGCGAGGTTTAATGATAATTGCTATATTTCAACCCCTAATTCTTAGTTTGCATCGGGCTACTAATTTATAACGAATCGTCAAAATATCAAAGGTAAAAGATAGTAAACGGGGAAACTTAAATTTTATTTAGTGGATCTCGACTTTGATCAATAACAATATTTTAATTATATCGTAGAAATATTATGACATAAGCATG